ATCAAGGTAGAACGTATGACATTGGAGTAAGGTATTTTTCCCCCAGTGAATCCATGGATTGAGAAGACATATTGGAATATTGGGTTGGGTTTTAGGACTACTGCATTGGATAGCATGTTGGAAGAGCATTGCTTTAGTTTGGCCACCAGAAAATTTAAGCAATTTTTGGCTTTAGATCACCTCCAGGAAAACCTATACATATTCTTCAGTTATTAAAGTTCTTTTTTCCTACACACATATAGGAAAAAATGAGCAAACTTCAAAAAAAACTCAACAAAACACAACACAACAAAGTGATCAGAGAGATATCCACAAAAAGACAGAGAATTGAGTAAGTAGCAAAATACTAAATATAATAAGATATTCAGTAAAACAAGTACTACTGTCAGCAGCAGAAATACTGAAGCTTGATTTCCTATCAATTTTGTCTCATGATTGAATTAAATGGCACCAAGATACAAACTCCAGCCAACAGTTTTCCATGGTTACAAACATTTATCCTGTTTTTATATTTAGTGATTTTTCTGGGACTTCATAAACATAAGTTCAACCTTCAGTCTCTCTTTTACTGAGGGTATTCCGTCTGGCCATTAATTTTAACATAAAATTGTTAAATTGTTATATATTAGAGAGTCTTTATCCTTTGTCAGATTTTGTTGGCCAGTCTACACTGGCCAGCTGGTTCAAAAGCTGTGGATATATGGTCAAACAAATATGGTGTACACCTATGACTCATTTTTATACCAAATGAGGCAACTGAACCCCTCTCCCCCTGAATGAAATATACGGGTTTGTGTAAAGGTGCATATGTATAAACTCACAAGTGAATGAAATAGAGGTGGCAGAAAAAAACAGTTTATTAAGAAATTAGGAAAATGCTTGACTTTGGGTGTATGCAATGATGAAAGGCAGCAAACGGCAATATTAAAAGCAGATCAAAGAGAAACTGTTTGCAGCTTTCATAGGTAGGTGTTCTGCTTAACTGTCATATCGTGATTTAATTCTGAGGTTATAACTAATTTTACAGGAAAAGCCTCTGTAAAGGGTTTATGAGATTTTCAGAAAGTCTTTTTATGACAGGCTGTTACCCAAAATAAAACCAACAGAATTCCAAAGTATAGCAAAATGAGAACAGGTGAAGAGAATTTCCAGTGGTTCTTACATTTTTTTTCTGGGTCTCGGTAAACATGAGCATGCTGTAGCCTTTCTTGTACTCCTGGTGCTCAGCCATTCTTTTTTTCATACAAACAATAAGAATATACCTTTGAGATCTTCCTGACAGTCTTCTTGTCAACTGTCACTACAGGTATAATGAAAGACTTGGCTTGATTTGCTGATGGAAGAAAGTGGATACTATGGTTGGACCATAGAAACTCCACAGGCTCATCTGCCAGCCTCTTCCAGTCCTTCATTATCTTTTGAGTGCAGAGCTATTGCCTGATATCAGCTGAAATTTCCATGCAACAGTTTAAATCTCCTATTTTTTGCCTTGTCTTTCTTTTCCTGTCTTTGGGTATGGATAACAGTGTGCCCTCATTCCTTTACCAGCAGCCTTTCATGTTTGTGTTCTTATGCCAAGCAGAGTTTGTTTGCTATCTCATAAGGCAAAGCTCCTAATCTTTCCATTAATTCCTCCACCTCTAAGAACTCTGGAATATGTACTTTCATCTATTGCATTCCCATTTCTGTTTAATGATGACTGAAGCACTGCAGTGTGAGATATAACTAAAGCCAGTGTGGTATTTAGAGAATAACTGGCAACATTTTTGCAGCTATTGAAAATCTTGTCTGGTAAGTTTTATTTTAAATCTGATTTTCACAAAATGATTTCTTCTAATCTTTACCATCTGCCTGACAAGTGTAATCAGCAAGCTGAAGTTAAAATATATGCAACCTCTGCCCTTCAAATCAATCACAAAATAAACCTCAAAATAATGTGTTCTAGTGGGGAAAAAAACCTTCTGAAAAAAATCTTTCTATTAATTGTTCCCCACTAAGGTAAAATATGTTGCCCTTGCTTAAAAAGAATACAAATAAATGTAACAACATTATTATTTTTTCTTTCTTGAAATTTTATTCGTCTTCATCAGATCTTGAAGTTAATGCTTATTTAGAAACCTCAGTCTTTTTTGGCAGATGGTAGTGGAACAGACATCTTTCACAAGCAGCGTATCAGCAGAGCACGTAGGATATTCATGGCAAATTTGAAAGCCATTTTGTGCACATAGTACCTAGGTGACCCTTCAGAGCTTAAAAGAAAGATAACATCTTAGGAACTAGCCACAGAACATTATTGGTAGGAGCATTTACACCAATATTCTACAGCATTTGCCTGCAGTGTTGCTTTCTTCTTTTAACAGTTGATAAGGAAACACTAGTTGACTTTTAGGAAGAAAAATTGGCTCAATGCAGACGGCTTTTGGAAATCCCACCATAAACATTTCTTCCACACACACCTTTATCATTGTCATTTGAAAGTCCAGTGACAGGTAATGCTACTGACTCTTTGTCCAGTACTGTACTCACTAGGAAGCTCTTTTGTCGTAATACAGGCTTCTCTGTTCTCTGGATGAGAAGTTGCTGGTAAATTCCCTTCCTGTTAGCTGTATTTGAGTAATATTACGTAAGAGGAAAAGAATCAATGCAAATGATAATCCTCCAAAACAGCTGACACAGCACTGCATGCCAGGGGGTTGGAAAAATATGAATGAACATGCTCTGATTTACCAGCAAGGTCTGTTCCTCCAGTGCAATCATTTAATCTGCTGACAAGGAAATAAGGGACTTTGTGCAGCATAGAGACCAACTGAACATCACAAATATGATACAAGCATGTATACCTTTGGAAGTAATTCTAGTGCAACACAATGAATATCTCCTCTGTCTCCAGTGCTGTGCATACAGTTGTAAAGGATGCTGCAATTTCTTGCATATAAATATGTGGAGGATGTAAATGTTGTTATGGAGGGTAAAAAACTTTGCACATTTCCTCACTCCCTAAAGTATGGAATTTTCATTTCCAAAATTGGCAAAAAAATAGGGTCAGATCCTACTTCATTTACTTCCCAACAATATTCATTAGATGAAACTAGCAAATATAAGAAGAAATCAATTGAAGAATGCTTGATTTCCACCTTCAAACTCATCCTTTGTGAATGAATCATAGTTCTTCATAATGTATGAAAGATTTTCCTTGTTTTTATGATTTGGTGTGAAGTTATGAAACCCTGCATCGTGCAGGCTTACTCCTGGCAAGAAGCCAGTATGAGAAATGTCACTAATAAAAACATGCACATTTTGTTTCCTAGTGATTATTTTGCTCTGATAACATTTTGAAAGCTTAATGAACTGTGGTACTTCTTAGCCTAGCAACTAGCAGAGACTTAGAAATAGGAATTAAATATGTTTCTGCTGGACAGCCTAGGTCAGGGCTGAATAAGAAACAATAAGGATTTTACCAACCCAAAATGTAGTTTCTTCTATGTGACCTAACAGTAGAGCATTGCTCAGTTAAAGGAAGTAGTAAGTTTGATACCAGGTCAACTTTTATCAGGAGAAGCAAAGTCAAATTCATACAGGTATCCCTACACACGGGCTTATATGCCCGTGGCCATATCAGCATTAGTGACATATTAATTAGACTTGGATTTTTGCAGATGTAATCTTTTTTTTCAGCCGTGACCCTGTCTCAACCCTGTCCTATCCTGAGATATTGACAGTAAGTAGGCTAAGCAGCAGCTGGAGATGGGGAGAAAGCATTTGTTCCTCCCTTTCTGCAAAGTTTTTTTTTCCATATCTTTGCTCTGACTCCCTACCACTGATCTGTTAAGTGAATTTCCTCTCCTCACATACTACACAGAAAATGGAGACCTCTGCACAAGAGGGAATTGAAGTGGTGACGAAGTTTATGTGAAAATTTATGTATCTGCAAAGCAAGGTTGTGTGAAATAGAATATATTTCATTAGAATAATTCATATACTTGGGAAAAAACAGATGAAGCATACGAGTCCTTCTTCAGTTCTCTGGAATGTGTTCACACGTTTTGTTGAACAAAGCACTACTGAAGTAGTGCTTACCATCCATGGATAACTTAAACTTGCCTTTAGCAAAGAACATGAATTCTTTTGAAAAACCCTAAATAAAACCAGGAAGAGTTGTATGGAAATTATTTTTCTCTTTAAAGTCTCTGAAAGGTAGGTACAAGGTGAAGATTAGAGCATGCTGAGTACTCTTTATGCACAGGGTACATGCAGTCAGTGTATACTCTGCAGTTTTCCTCTTCCAGCCATAAAATGTGCCTTAGTTTTCACATCATGGAGCAACTCTTGAATGTAGAGTTTGCATCAAGCAGCAGACCTTTCCCCTGTGATTGTCAGTAGGATGCCAGTTCTAATTGGAGGCTATCAGCATTTTCAGTGATCCACATTAGAACCATATTAAGGAGCTACAGCATTTCACATTGGCCATGAGACATTTATCAGGTGATAACTGCTAGCAGCTATAGACCTGGGCCAAATTCAAAGGAATAACCTGGATGTGAGAGGGAATGTATCATGTTCAGTGAGCCATTCTGTTGCCTGAAACTGTGGACTTAGTGACCCAGGACTAAATTAAATAGAAACAGGTCAATGAATGTCCAATTTTACTCAGTCATCCAAAAGTATTATGATATTGCAGCACTGTGGAGAGGTATACTGTGCCTGAGATAATTGTGACTGTCATTTCTCAGCCTTCTTGTCTAAAGGAGATTCAACTGGAAAGGATTACAAAGCTTTATTTGAAAGACAACAACTTTTATTTAACTCCAGACTGAAAGGAAAAGGAATTTATGTTTGTAACTCTTTGATATTACTTCTATAGAAGGCATTTTTTTTCTATAAACAGGCACCAAATACATTCACAGTGTTGAAGAACTGCAGATCTGGCTTGGTTCTTCTTTTTAGGCAAAACATAACAGCATAATAGTGTGATGAAGATCTGGGTGGCTTTCTGATCAATCTTACTTTTTCCTTCTAAATATCTGATGGCACACCTGGTCTTCACATGTCAGTTCCTACAGTATTAAAACAAATAGTAAGTATATAGTGGTACAAGTTGTATTTAGCATACACAGCAGATCCCACCAGAAATTACTACCACTGAGCCACTGCATTAAAAATATATGCTTATAAAAAGAGAACAGAAAGAACAGTGTACTACTATGTGTAACCAATCAGCACACATGCTGCAGTAATGAGATTTTGAAGCTTGACTTGAGCTCTAACAAAAATAAACCTGAAAAATACATAAAAATTGCTCTTTAATGCAAGGCTTTTCCAAGCTGTGTTATTAAGAATAGTATGCTGTAATCGTTTATAATTCACATATTACCTCATAATTCTGGAATAGCAGTGAAACAAGGAAGTAGATAAAAAAGGAGGTTGCTGCAAGAAGTTTAAAACATTTTCTTTAGAAATGCTCCAGCCATTTTTCAGGGTGCCAGAAAGTAGGACATTTGTTGGGTCAATTTTTGAATATGTGTTAAAGTAGAGTAAATAAAAATGTATTGGGCAGCTGGCTTTTAGTTAGGTAGCAGAAAGTGTTCCTTACTCATTGCTTTGACTTTTCAAGCATAGAAAGTTGAGGCACTGTGGTTGGTGGTACCAATTATCAGTAGGGTAAACTTGTGAACGAGGAGATATCTGGATGCAAATCATGAGACAGAACAATGAGCTCTCCTCCATAATCCTTCTGAATCCATCTATTACACCATCCAACATTATCATGCCCATTTCTTGACTGCTCTCCCAAGAAATTCTGGAATAATTATAATGTATTTATTGTTTTTGAAATCTTTTTGGACTTCTCTGACTTCTTCTTTCCTGCACAGGCTCCTTTGGCCTCTCATGGACTCAACAAATTTATCTTTAGGCTCTATCTTACTAACACAGATTAATTAATGTTTTGACTTTTTTGTACTAATAGCACAAAATAATTGCAGTGTAGGTTGTTTGCAGGAGCCACTTGAATATGCAGAAGTTTCTGATCTGTATAACAGCATAGTATGCTACAATTTCATAGTGCTTCTTTCAGAAAAAATAATAATATTTTTCTTGCAATCTGTCCCATGCTGGTGTTGGGGTTTTTTGTTTTTTTTATTCATTTTGTTTTCTAGTTATTATTTAAGAATGAGATGATGTTAGAGGAGCAATGGAACAAGAAGAGTTAATAGCTGGAGGGCAGTGGATTGGAACAAAAAACCACTGCTGGGTTATGACTTGGAGCAGGTGGAAAGAAACTGAGTATTCCTGAGTTGTAGCACAGGGTTCATTTCCTTAGAGTTCAGAGATTAGAGCTGTCTAAATAAAGACCATTCTAACTAGAACAAGTAACAAACTTTGAAATGGAAAAACTGTGCTTTGTTGCAGTCTCAGTTACACACTGTATATCTGTATAGCAGTCCTTACCAGATGCAATAAGTCTCCTTCAATCCAATGTTTCCAGCCCCTGTTGTTCTTTTCACCTTTCTGAACACATACCAGTTTGTCACCATCCCAGGTCACTAGTGTCTGAATGAATCAGATAATTAACTCAGATATGTTAACAAGAAATTTATGAATACATTAAAATAAACTCAATCCAATCATGAGAAGACACAAATAGAGTTTCTTACTACCATTCCACATCGTCCTCCTAAAACCACCCCAAATCAGTTGTTCAACCAAGACCCAAATACATTCAAGATGACAACAGTGTTTTAATGTGATGCTTTTGCAGTGCTTTGATGACATTTCCATGTATTTCTTCACATACATGAATACAAAATGTTCATCCTAACTAGCGAATTGCTGAGTGAATTGACAGATACTTGCTCAATGTATGCAAACTGTATTTTTCTTTTCTTGGTGTTTAAAACCACAAATTAAAAGATTATAAGGTTTCATGAGTGAAGACCTGGGGCCTTATACCAACTAGTGCTGTGCTAATACCTTTTCTAGCTCTGGATAAAAAAGAAAGAGGAAACATATATTAATATAATTTCATACAATAAGTTTATTTATATTTAATGCATTCTCACAAAAGACCTTTAAAGAGATATGATCATAATCTGGACAACATGCTCTAGCTAACCTTGCCTGAGCAGAGAGGTTGGACTGGGCGATCTCAAGAGGTCTTTTCCATCCTCAATCATTTCATGATTTGGTGTGATTCAGACTCTAGCACTAATAGAAAGGGTATTGGATATGCTGATTCTTGTCCAGGAGCAGGATGACTGTATGTAAGGAAAACTTCTCTTTACAGACTAAATTCTCTGCTTGGATACACTAGAGTACATTCAAAGCAACTTTGTTTGTATTGTTCTAGGTTTGAACTGTTGTACTTTAGGGAGATATTTAAACATGTATCATAGGCAAATCCTCACCAGAGACCAGTTACAGTCAGTAGAAGTTCAGTTATTAAAAAGCTCCAAGAGTATTGGGAACTTAATTAATTTTCTCGTTCAGTACTGGATGATTTATTTCTCTTATGAGAGAGCTTTCTATTAATAACGAGACAAAACTCATTCCATTTCAGTTAACTTCTTCCTTATTTACGGAATTTTTAAGCTACATGCTCTCTAAATTATCCATGCCCTCTTTACATTTAAATGTTGCCTAGCAGTTTTATTACTTTCATCTAACTTCATTGTGTTTGAGGCATTGTTTTGCTAATAAAATGACCAGAAAATTCTTTCAGAGTAGTTCAGAGAATAATGGCATGACATGCTTCCTTTTTCCTTCTCCTCTTGTTAGAAATACAAAATAAATTTTGTTTAGAAAAGAATATTAAGCAAAAATTATGAAATCAGTTAGGGTTATAAATGTACAAGCTGCGTTTCCTTCCTTCCAAATAATTGATAATGAAGAGTAGAGTCTGCAAGTGAAATGATTTTGCACAGAAAGACAATGGTTTTATTAGTTGTGAAGAGTTCTAAAGGAACATTAGTCTATGGGTTGAAGGAGTGATGTAACTGCTAAGTCCTTAGATCCTTAGCAATGCCTTTAACTGATCTAAAGAGATGAGTGAGCAAGGTATTAAAGCACAAATTCTGTCCCAGGAATATATCCCACCCAGTACTCACTGAAGAAATTAATAGGAAGACAATTTAGGGATTGAGTCTTATTATTTGGTGGCTTGCAGTGCTGCGAATGAGAAATAATTTGGAAGAAGTCATAGGAATTACACCGCACAAAGTTAGTTTGAGAGTGAAGAGTGATCCATAGTGAAAAAATAAGGTCTCCTGTTCAATTTGTGACACTCCAGTGAAGGATGATGTCAGTTCAAATGTAAATATGTCCTTTATGCTGCCAATTTCCTGTGGCAAATGCCAAAATAAAACAGGTCTTGTTGGCAGTGAGCTTTGATCTCAGACTCTCATACTTCAGGTGTATCATAGAAAAGCTTTAAAAATCTCCTATAAGAAAATTTTGTAATTAATGGTTATCCTCACGTATCTCAGTAACCATCCTGATTTGCATTTATAATAAATGCTTGTAGCAAGGAAGAAAATTGTCTCAGGATGTGAATTCTTTCTGCTTTTAAAGAATATTATGATGTCTGTAAAGTATGGGATTTTTTTCAGCTGATTTTTGGAACTGCTTACTCCTGGTGCCAGCTGTAGTGTAAACAGTTATCAGGTACCAGATTTTTACCTTTACTACTCGGTTATCCAGTCCTTTGGTATGTTCTTCAAACTCCACTCCTACAGTGAAATCCAGATCATAGTTTCTGAAAGTGCTGAGTGTTTTTGTTTTAAAGTTATCTCCATTTTGAGTAATCTCCTTTGTTTGTTTCAAGTGTTTTGCAATCTTGCGAGTTGCAAAATCAATACCTGCCAAAAACCAGAAAAGAGAGTATCACAGTGAAAATTCAAATATTTGTTACAAAAAAACCCCCTAAGTCCCATAGCACTTACATTTACAGAAAATGAAAAAAAGCCCACATTTTATGTGGAACATATTTCCACAATTTATGCTTTTACCTACAAAGTTTTGCAGATAAAAAGATAATTTCAAACAAAAATAGTCTTGTGTTTACAATTAGACTTTCAATTTGAGGATTTTCTACTGGTTATAAATGTGGATTCATAGGATATATGTGGGAATGTTCTCAGCAGAACTACAACAGACAACCAGTAGTTGATGGTGGCATGTTAAACCACCTGAACCTCCATTTGTTTTGGGCAAATGTGAAAAAAACCAAGGGATGTTAAGACTGATACGGCCTTTCTAGCCTACACATCAGGCTGTGGGATGCCAGGAGTGCTATTATCACCATTTTCTTTCCAAGCATGCAGTGTAAATTGTGCAGCTCTTGGGCTAGGGGGGTGTTGTTGTTTGTCCTGCAGGGTTACAAATGTTGGCCAGCCCCTAAAGAAGGATCTCAGAATAATATTTCTTTTCAGAAAATAAGCATGTTAGAATTAATAGGTAATCAAGGGGATTTTGGCATGTTACTTTTTGATGAACTCACAGTCTGTGGGAGTATACAAGAGGTTAATTAATTCCTTTAAAAAGAATGAAAAGTATGCTAATGAATAAAAAAGAAACAATCAAATAAAAGCCTAACTTATCCATTGCTGTTAGACATCAGTCACAGAAACATATTACAGCTTACATGGTAAAGGGAGACAAATCCAAAGTCAAAAGTCAAAAAAGTATAAAATGACAGCATTTGACAGTTCCTGTTTAATATTCTGCCAGCATTTTATGCAGCACTGATCTCCTTAACATCCTTATTTTCTTCATGATGAAGAATAACATTATAATGTAAACAACTGCTTGCAACCGAATGCATTGAAAGTTACCAAAAGGAGAATATATATATTACCATGATGACAGTTTGCCCCAGACAATCCACCTAATGCCAGCTGCATTACCATCTGCAATAAATATTTCTGACCAGCTGGCAGTGAATCTTATTATGGTGCTACATGCAAATGAAATAAGCTCACATGCTTCTGCAAGAGACTGAAAAATGGTCTGGGTTTGTTAGCCATCCTTTAGTGGTTTCGCATGTGAGTTAATCATTGTCAGCTCAGCAATGCCACATACTAATGGAGCCCTTTTTCTTTTGGTAGATTCATTATACTACTTGTGAATTACTAATCGAGCTGAGTAGGAGGATTGGCTTGAAAAAAATGGTGACTTTTTAACATGGGGAATGATGTTCTTGTTCAGTATTTATATTCAAGACTTCTTGGGTATATTTTATCTGGTGCGGTAGATTAAAGGTATCTCTGGGTCTGATTTATAGCCAGGTAACATAAAATTTAGTTCTCTCTGAGGAAAAAAATGTCTAGACTTTTAAATAAATGCTATTTCTGACTAATACATTACTCTTGTAGCTCCTGCAGAAAAATCAGGGGAGGTTTTATTAAAGTATCGTTTTCATAACTGCATTTTGAACAATACAAGCAATAAAAATGATATACTGTTCTATTATAGTAGATTAAAATACTTTGTAACATGTTTATGATAAAATCAAAGTTTCTGGCTTAAAGGGCAAAACTATACTTTAATTAAACTTTAGAAATGTGTATGCATTAATTAAAAGGATGGATGCATTTTAAAAAACCAAAACCTCAGTGTGCTTTGAACCTCAGCACTTTAATACTTAAAATATCAGCCACATGTAAAATTGTGAGAAGCAGAGCAGCGGGAGATCTTTTCACCCTTTCCATGTAATTTCTTTGCATTCTGAGAATCACCTGTAGCCATAGACATATTTGCATTGTTTTGGTGTTGGTTTTTTACATTTGTTTGTTTGTCTATGTGTCTTGTTTCATTTTTTCCTAATTGTCAGTTTTTAATTAGTATAACTTACAATGTGTGTACATATATATGGATGTATACACAAAAAATCAGGCTGTGCTTATGAAGGGGAGGTCCAGACAAAAGGAGCAAGTAGCTCCTTCATCCCAACTCACTGCTGGCATTCTTACTGGGAAAGTAGTTTGAAAATTTTATCAGAAAGTTCAGTGAGTACCTCTCCTTTACTGTCTGCCCAGGGTAGACAATGAATGGAAATATTTTCTAGGAAAAAAATAGATCTATATTACTTTCCTTATTCTAACACATTTTTCCTTTTGCTTTGTTTAAGGCTATTGAGTGAGTCATTTATTCTCATGAACTGTTGCTATCTTTTTTAAGTAGGCTTGCCAGTCTTGGATGCCTGTAGTCCAGACACCATTGTAGGCTGAAGACATCCATTTTTCTCCCAGTTTCCACTCAGAAATGTATGATCAGAAAGGGAGAAAAAAATCCACATGATTCAATAATAACAGTGTAATGATTTACCCACTGACTGAAATGCAATGTAGACCAGCTCATGCTAGCATTTTTAGTACAAAAAGCATTATATAACTGAAAAATGGATTACTTATTCTAAAAGGATCAGATAATAAGGATGATAATAATTAGAGCTTAGTTGAAAGCTGTTATAATTAATACTTGTATTATGACAGCTAGATGCTAAATTCTTACTGAATTTGAGTTAAAATCACAGTTTAAATTCTACAGCAGGTAAATTCAAATTCAAAGTAATGCGTGTTACTAGCAGCTGGTATCCCTTTCCCTGAATTTTTTCCTGAATTTTAAGACAAATACAAGTTAAATGATATAATTCGACTGAAATAATCAGTAGAGGAATCTCATCTGATGATACCCTGGAATGGAAGAAAAGAACAACAATGAGAAGGCCGCTACAACCAAATTAAAGTATCACTATAATTACAAATCCTTTTGGAAAGGAAATATGCACACAAAAGCATTTCCTTTGCCAATGGAAGAGGGCTATACAGTGTATTCACTGATTTTGAAGCACTGAATTGTTTTTATAATCTACATCTTTACAAGTAAATGTTTTGGAATCTGGGCAAACAAGTTATTTAGATCTGCATTAGCTTGACTCAACACTTTTTGAACAACACACAAGAAGCTTCAAGTCTTACTCGACTTCCAGTGAAAAGTGCAAAGTATTTGACCTGAAAAAGCTCATTTTCATTAGCATCTTTCTTACAGTGGAGTCAGCTGCTGTAGAAAAGCAGAGAAATAAGAGCAAATGCTGAACAGAAGATAGAAATCAATGGCCACCAGACAGAAAACAATGAGACATCTGGGAATGAGGAGTGCATAGATCCAGTTGGACCCCTGACTGCTATCAATTGTAAGCATAAAAATAAAATACAGGTTTGATTTTTGCCACATGCGAATTTATGATTCAGAGCCATCCAGTCTCCTCCAATCTAGGTTAAATTAGCCAACTCTAATTACTGCTTTTCTTGTTTAAGTTTTATAGACATCATTTGTGGAAGGAAACAACTGTCCATTTTGTCCTTGGTCTGTGATGTCACAGAGCTGGGAGGAGATTCCCAATGCTAAAGATTACAATTCTCATGCATATATAAATATCTAACTCCTGTGTTTTTTGTTGTTCTTGGAATGCAGCAATATCACTTCAGTGGTGTAAAGGTAATAACTCTACTTTCAACACTAATCCAGAGTTTACTGGAAAAAATATTGAGAAACATTAATGTCTTCTGTTATTTCTTCTTTTTTTAGCAAATTAAACATTTACATCTTTGCTAACCTAAGTAGAGGAAGGATTTCCTGCACAGTACTTGGTAATCATAATGACCTGGAACAAAAACTTCTTGTCTTTACAAGAACAAAAATGCTTGAAAAGCAATTTATATTGAAAATAATAGGTGCAGCAAAAGAAGACATTTCTCTCATAAAATTATCTCCAGTCATTACAAAAATTGAATCTGTCAGCACATGGAAAGATAATTCTACAAAGAACATAAACTTGATCTTGATATGAACTGACAAGAATATTGTTTGCATTCACTTAACAGTGTTAGTATTTTAGCATCTCTGAAGAGTATGCTTAATATCCTATACAATGGAAATGCAAACTGTAGCTATCAGGCTTGCATGATAAAGAGGCTAACAAAATAGTAAATGAAAGTTGCCTAAAGAGCAGAACATCTTTTATTGCATGTACACATCTATTGTCATCAATGATGGTCATAGTCAGATGAAATGAAGCTTAGTTAATCATATTTAAAAACCCCTGTGACTGAAATCAGAACATAAGGATATAAGGATAAATAAAGACTACTCTCTTTGGCTACAACTCTCCTCTAGCTTATATACTTGGATTATAGTAATTATAAGTACAGTTCCTTGATTTTTAATGTGATTGGTAGTAACCCCATATCACAATACACATTAAAGAAATAGTCTCATTAATTTTTAGAATAATTTTACTTATAATTGAAACATTTTCTCTTTATCTGTATAAAGTCAATATTTTTTCATTTACCTAAAGCAACCATGTAGCCTTCAAAGTTTTCATTGGTTTCCATTTCCCATGTTCCATTGTAATCAGCAGGCATGGTGGCAAGAGTTTAACACCAACTTCAGATCAAAAGGTGACACTGGAAACAGGATCTGCTATGAGAATGTCTTATAAACCTTTTAATATCTTTTTTTTATAAGGTTTATGGTTTTCTAGATAATATGGTTTAAGGGTTAGAGTGATAACCCTAGGAAACTTCGCCTTCATTAACAAAGTTCGTTTGAACAGCTGGCAGACAAGGAACACTGAAATATGTAGTAATACAGGATATGATTTTAGAGTGACCTTTGAAAGAACTACTAGCTATTATAGAATACCTTTGAAATACATTGAACACAGTAGCAAATTGTACAACCCAGTTAAAGTTTCCAAGGTGAATTCTCTTTTTCGGTTCTTTTCTATGTGTCATATTTCCTTATGAAGAACCAGTCCTACAGAGCTGACATACCCAGAACTCTCATTTCAAATTAATGGAAGTCTTGAATGAGAACAAATGCAAGGCAGGGCAGAGAAGGGAATATTTCTGTGGAAAATATTTTTGGTCTCCTTTGATTTTCGAAATACCAGTAGCTGCACTTACACCAACTGCACTTCCATAGTTTTGTTTTAACAGCATGTTTAGCAAATGTAAAATAAATAAATCATAATTAATATCAATCCTACCCTAAAAATGATTTTTTAATTACTCTGAAACATAGCAGTTTCTGCTAGAAAAACATTTTTCATCCAGCAGCATTGTATTGTTGTGAGGGAAAGCACCAATTTCTGTTGTGCAAATAAGCACATTCAGAATGTGTCTGAATGGAGAACCTGAATGTGCAGTATAACTGCATTGAAATTTAAAGTAAACACTAGGCAAATTAATAGAAGTTAAGGTTTTAAATTATCTGGATTTAATTAGTCAAGATAACTTACAGATGGCTCTAGAGATACAATAACTGAAATCATCAGAAGTTCAAAACACCTAATTTTAATTTCTCTCTTATGTATTTTTTTTCTTTTTATGGGAAAATTATTAAAAATTTTATTCTTTCCTAAAGGAATGATGACTGATGTATAAGCAAGTACTCAGTGTTTTACCTTACATCTCCAAATACCCAGTGATGGATTTATGAGGAATGAATCAGACTGGATGCCTATTACCACCTTTAAAAGTCAGAGCATATGCTAGAAGCTCATGGTGAGAGATTATACAAGGTCATTGATTTTAGTTCTGAAGTGCTTTTCTTCCTATATAACAGTCATTTTGGTAAGACGCAGAAGTGACTGAAACTGTATAATGTGATGATCAACACTTAACATCCATTAAGAACTACTAAAGAAATTGATGATTTTATAGTTGTAGATATGCAGAGCCAGGCACATTCAGAGAAAATTAATTATGAGATGTGACCATCCTTCCATGTAAGGCCATAATTAATTAACAGCATACATATATAATTGTACAGGTTTTCACAACGATGCTTTGTTTATGCCCATCCCTTATTGTTTATTTATATAACTTTTTTTTTTTTTTTTTTTTCCCAAGTGTGTATTATTTAGACTCTGTATCAGTCATTCCCTAAGCTGTCTTTATTAGCCTGAAATGGCTCTTTCAAGCCTTTTCAGGTAAATATGCAACAAGGAGGTTTCAGACACTGAATTTAACCAATCAAAGAACTGGCCAAGTAGGGAATAAATAAAACATGAAATATTGACTTGACAGAGTTCTGTAATGCTTCATAAGCTTTTAAAGAGTGTTGTGTTAAGCTCCACAAAGAGAATTTTCAGTTTATGAATCAATATCTTGATAGGCAGTATAACCTCTACCACATTCAAATGCCTGTCTAATCATATGGAGCCAAGAGAGAGTACTGATGCTGTTAACATATAATTTTTAAAGCCCCATGTGGATCTGTGGTCTGTAGATCCCTGACCCACTGTATCCTCAGCCTGCTTGTGGATCTGTGCCTTGCATTTTACTGATCTGCCTCTTGTCACATTGCTGCTTCAACATTCTGACTTATTATCCACTTCAAGTCTTAGAAATTATTCTATTTGATTTGTAGTTTTTGATTATATACTATATACATAGAGACAAATTCTAAAATGAGATTTCCTTCTTGTGCCATTATGATAAGTTTGGGGAAATGAAGAAAAGGTGCCCTTTCCTAACTGTTATGATTCTTTTGTTCTTAGCATGCTTTCTTTGCAAGACCACCAGTAAAATCACTAGGGATGCTATGTATAGCACGTATGAAACCCTGGGAAGTTGGAGAAAGAAGTGTCTTCTTCAGGTTTTCCAGTATGTATGTTAAAAAACCAAGCTCTGAGCTCGTAGCTCATGTCAGGTTTCAAGCCAGGGATCATTTTTATGGCTGAGTAGTAAGACCTTGGAAATAAAGCAAAGTCATGAAAGATCCAAAGACTTTTGTTAAAAGCCTAAGTATCTTTTTCAGTCTTTATCTGAGTGTGAAGAAATAAAGATGGCTTTTCTTGCCTCTGTCCTTGCCTCCAGTTCCTTTCACTATATCTGAGACCTACCCAGAAAAGAAATCTTATATAGGTAGCTTAACAAAGTTCAGCCTTCTTGCTATCTGAAAGAGATGCAGTCTCCCGGGGACAGATTATACTGTAAAGCATTGTTAGGAGCACTATATAAAGAACAGAGCTACTGGTCAAACAGAATTTTTTTGAGAACTTTATTTTGAAGAGATGGTAGCATTCTTCCCACTCTGTCTTTGTCTCATGTAATTTTCCTTTTAAACTATCTAATATGCATATCTAACACAGGAGAAAATTGCCTTGTACTCCCCCAATCAGCCCCTACACATCTCCTGCTTGACAGCTGGGACTTATGCCTACAGTTATTTGGTTGTTGTTTAGCACATGGCAAGCTGCATGTGTTGTTCTTAGCAACTGAGTTCCCCTGAAAGATTCAGACAGAAGCAGCATGGTCACAGACACCTCGTATTATTTTTAACTTGTTAACACATGTGCACTCACTAGGCTTATTTTTATTTTTAAGAAAATTAATAATTTAAAACATATTCAGTAATGGCTGCTACCGCAAATACTGTCAGAGGTGCTATCTCACCAGGCTCAGGATTCTGTTCAGCACAAACATGAGTACTTGCACTATGACAACTAAAAGTAAGTTGGAGGGAGACAATCTGCTTCTTCTCAGTATGTAAGATGGCTTGCAGGCCCTGGGGATTCAGCTGGGTGAAGGTAGTCATCAGCTACTGGGCAGGCAATTTACTAAGAAGTGACAGAAGCAGTAAGAGAGACGTGTACAGTGGGAGAGGACAGAATCCAAAGGCTATTTGCAAAACAAGCTCAGCAAATAATATTTAATTGCCCAGTTGGTAGTGGTTGCCCTCTTCCGGTAGAAAATAGCACTAAACTACCTTGGATACTTCTAGCTTATAAGCCTTCTTGCCGGGTCAGATACAACAAATTATAACAAGCCTACCTCAGTGTCTTAGAATTAATTAGAGTTTTGGCTTCTGACCCAAGCTTGCTTACTTGTTCAGGTCTGGACCCTACAGATAAAGGATGGAAGTTTACAAGTTAGTTGTACATGTTTGTTGGCTAAACATTTATTATTTAATGCCAGTTCTTAGCTGATCAGGCCAAAACAGAAATCTGCAGGAACAAAGTTTTTGTTGACACGTAAGAAAAGGGAGAACTTCTTCATTTACCTCTCAGTAGAGGAACATGTCTGATGTCTTGTTGACAGAACAGTAGGGACAGGTTGAAAATGCTGTGGTAGGTTGTGGATGTACACACAGCTTGCAGTTACGCCAGTTTGGCACATCATGTTTACCTTCAATTTAAACAGAGATGCACAAAAAATAAGTTTTTAATCACTCTTTTGAAAGAAAATAATTTACTTTCTGCCATTAGATATTTTTCTATTTTTTCCATCAATGGCTGTCTGCCTTCAGTCATTCTTACCTTTCTTACTCGTCTGCTTTTGCCGATGGAGTTGGATGTAGGTGTTGCACACTTTGTTAATTAGAAGCCTTCCTCCTCTAACTAAGGACTTTGGCTTAGCTCTTAGAGGCTTCATAATGTTGCTGGTGATCATGTTACTGAGTTGGAGAATAATAAAAAAGTGGCTCCTACTGGCTTGAGAACTCACTTTTATTAAAGTGTTTTGCATTATGAAAAATTATGTTACAGAGAAATAAAAGCCAATGATAAAGCTGACCTTGATTTTCAAAATAATGGGGAATACAGAATTTATTAATTCATTAATTCTCCTGAGCACTTATTCAGTGCTCTTTATCCATAGGCTTCCAGCTAGCAGGTAAAAAACATTAGCCTTTATAAAATCAGAGAAAAACTTAGGGAGTGACATGGTTTGACCAAGGTCATGAAATGAGCCCTTAGTCAGAGCAAGTTAGTGAGTATAACCGTTCATGTTATCCAGTAAAGCGTGCTTCCTCCTGGGCTAACTTTAATGTAGATTGAAAACCTAAACTCAGTATAAGTGCTTTGTCTTTGCCATTAGGCTGCCTAAGATTTCCCTTCAAAGATTTTGCTCAGGATCTGAATTCCCTGCATGAGCTATGCATTAATATCTGTAACTGTAATCTATAACTTAATTGTATTTATTCTGTGGCAAAGTTTTGCAATTGCAACTGCCACTTCTTATCTTCATCAGATAAAGGTTGCATTACTCAGACATTGAACTGGAATACTGATTGATGGTTTTTGAATTTAAAGAATCTATAGAAAGCAGTGTGAGGTTTGTTTTTTTTTCTTTGATGCTTCTAAGACAAGTACAATTTGGCTAAGAAAATGTGTATCTCCTTTTGCTTTTTCACTCCTGACCATAAACACTGAAATGTCATTTTAATACAGGGTCTCATCCATTAGAATAACATTTTGAAGAAGCAATTCTGTTAAACAGAAATAGTCCTTTTACCTCATCTAGAGAACACTTTATAGGGATACTTTCAAATATCTCAGACCTCAAGTTTTCACATACCTCATTAAGTGATCAAATGATTTTGCTTGAAGTTTTAGAATCCAGATGAACAGAAAAAGCCATATCAACTGTTGCAGTTGGTGCAT